ACATACATACATACATACATACATACATACATACATACATACATAGGGGATACAAAACGTTACTTTATCCGCGCTGTCGAACGTGGGGCCAAATTTTTTTCTTCTTATAAGTTTCAGTTTTGATACCAATTGTTAACACTCGCCAAAGAGTTGCAACTGATTATGCCTTTTGTCGGTCTTAAGATACCCCTTGTGTGAAATCTTTGCTTCAAGTCGAGAGAGTTCGAGATTCTTGTTTAGTGACAGGTTTCTACTATCGAGTTTAAAAGGAAAAGGTTTGAGTTGTCTTGTTAGCGTTCGCGTTAGGAAGCATGCGGAGTGGTCAGTAGCCTTTTGCTAAGCTATTCATAGATGAATTAGAAAAAACATGTGATTTTGCGTTGCTTAAAGCGCAGTTCACGATAATTTTGGGTAATACCAATTATGACGAAAAATCGGAGATAAGATGGAAAATAGTGCGATGAAGGCGAAGAACTGCGTGAATCGGTGTCTCTAAAGTGAAAAAAGGCTTCAAAAAATGGTTAAAAAGGGAGCTGGACGAGAGTGAGACCAGAAGAATGAAGAAGAGTGGGGCGTTTGGACGAGCTATACAATGTGGGTCATTGCGCACGTGTGGGTCCTGTTGCAAAAAACTGACTACGGTAAGCAGAAATGTTCTCTTATAGGCATAAGGAAACAAAGAAATCCTAGTAACAGTAAAAATAGCTCACCTTCTTCACCCTCTCGCGGCAGCAAAAGGAATAACAGAGGAAAAAAGAATTTGAGAAAAGCATCGCCTCATCACTCGGTGATCAGCTACTGTGTGTGGGTCCTAGAACGAATCGCCTCGACGCTCGTCTGATCGTCGATCGGGGGCGGAAAGGCCGCGCGAGCCGGGAACAGGGCTTCCTCTCTTTCATAGCCGTCGAGTTTTGGCATGAGAGAGTCCTTTCTATTACCCTTGGGAGCCACTGAGTGCTTATTTAGTTTGAAAGTTCAGAAAACATGTCCTATACCGTCACCTTGTCATGATCAGGAATTTTCTGGGCAAATGTTTCAAATCATGAGGCCCTTCTGGAAACTCCTATGCTTGTAGCATTTCCGTACATTTTTTTTCCGTTTTTTTTTAAACTTATGGTATTAAACATTTTCATTTGTGTTTGTTTTTTTCTGTACACCTATGTAATAAGTGTTTACAGGTCCCTGAGGATAAGAGAAATTTACGTCTTGTCCGATTCTCATTGATTCGCGAGGGTACTTCTGCTGCGAATGGTATGAGTTCAGAGGATGCAAGAAAACGGCAGCGATTGGCCGAGTCATCTAGAAGAAAGTTGGAAAACTTGCATATGTATGGTTTGCAAATGTAATCATCTGAACACGGTCATTGTAATAAAATCTCGATGTTGATACATATGCTCAAGTGTGGAGTGCTTAAGCTATAAGACTTAAAAATATATTCCAGGTTCATATCACCCACTCGTCTGATGGTGCACAATCTTCCCTCTTCCATGACTGATGGGAAACTTAGAGAGATATGTGTAGAGGCTGCTGGGAAGTTTGCGCATATTACGGAATGTCGCATTTGGAAGGATACTTCGAAGTTGGACTCTAAGGTCGAGTAATTGGGAATTAATACTAAAAAATTAGGAATGCTGGTCCTCTCCATAATGGCTACTCTCTTTTATGAAGTCTGTACTAGAGCATTCTATTCTGTTTTTTAAGCCATAATTTAAAAAGTTTTCAGGGTAACGCTCGTTCGAAAGGGTACGCTTTCGTCAATTTTTCGGAGCACAGTGATGCTTTGCAGTGTCTCCAAAAGCTTAATAACAATCCACACATCTTCACTAATGAACGACGACCAATAGTCGAATTCGCTATTGAAAACTTGTTGGCGATCAGAGCCAAGGTATAGTTGACTTTGTTGGAAATAATTATACACTAACAGTTTTCATTTTCCCCTATCAATGACAGCCCTCTTGATTGTTTTTTCTTCACCATGTTTGCATATTCATCCTATCACTGTTTAGTTCATTTCCGTTTGGCACGTTTTGCAGGTGAGGCGCTCGGCTCATAGCAAGGGAGAAACATTGACAGGGCGAGAACTTAGTGATAAAGTCAAGACACAGGCAAGGCTGTCGAATAATTTGTTTTATTTGTTTTATTTGCTCAAAATTGTTCACAAGTTTCTGAATGCTGTCGTTTAACAGGTCAAACACTCAATAGAAGAGGTGTCTAAATCAGGTATGAAGGTCATGCCTAAGTTCTTGGGTAGGAAATTGCGACACAAAAATATGAGTAAGACACAATTGAAGAAGAAGGTTGGTTTCATTTTATTATCTTACCAGTTTTGTCGCCCAGCTCACGCCGGCCCCCCATATCTTACATTTACTTAGCAGTCAAAAATGCCTCTCCCTCCCCCCCCCCCCCCCCCCCCCCCCTTTAAGTGAAGAAATGCAGAGGAATGTAGAATAGAACTGAGTTATCCATATCACTGCCTTTATCGTAATCATAAAGATTGCGGACGGACACACCGACAGACATACTGACATACCGACAAACCGACACACCAAGTTTCTGCTTTATAATAAGAGAGATTATTACATTTTATTCTTTTTTCCATCTTTTCATTTAACGGTTCTAACAACTTTTGCTGGCTTTCATGCTTCTAAGTAGTCCACTATTTCAGTTGTTTTCAGCAAAAGGGTTCTCAGAGTTTGAGTACAAAGAAGTTCAAAAAGGAAGATGGAACGGCTAAAAATGTAGGAGCGAAGAAGAACAAGAAGCTTATGACAAAGTATCTTGCGTTTTCATCATGAATATCTGTTATGCTCAATGAAATTTCATCAACCATTTTCAACCCGATTTGTCTTCTCGTCCTCTTTGGTGTGGAGATCGTGATCGAATATGTTGTCATTTTTATAATTGGTGGAAGCACTTTAGTAAACACAATGTCTAAGAGCTCTGGATAATCCTACTAGTTGGTGAAATTGGCATCGGTTGCCTTCACGTCGTTTTATCCATTTGTCTTTCTTGAATTCCCAGCGAATGCATCTCTCCTCGTCGCATTCTACATTAGTAAGTCACACAGGTACAAGGCGGGGCAGTCAAACCGCACGATTCTAAGTATCAAAAAACACCTACAGAAGCAGCGTTTTTTTTTTGTCATGTATTGCAACAAATCTTAGAAAATAAATGGAAACTTCAAAAAATAGAAGGAAGTGTTTAGTGTTTTGAGAGTGAGCAGTCAAAGCGAATGTTTAAGAAAGCTGGTTGAGTGGAAGGGTGTGCAGTGAAGGAGGTAGGCGTGTCTAGCTGTAACGAACCGCTTGATCAGTAGGAATGGAGATAATCTGAGCTCTTGCGGGCACTTTCTACGGGGACGTCTCGAGTCGAAGCTTCTTTGGAGTCATCCAACAACGGTTCAGCATTTAAAGGTCAGGATTGAACAAGAAGTTCAATACACCGGCGTTGCACAGACGTGTCAGTGGAGATTTCAATAGGATACTTAGACATTGTGTTCAAAATGGTGGTCACCATCTTACCGGAGTCAAATTCAGAAAATAAACATTTGGAATGTTGAATTGTGTATATTTGAATACATAATGTTTGAACTAAAATCTCTATTCATGTGCTTATAGGCACAGTTCAGGTTAAAAATGTTTTCCATAATTTTTCTCTGTAAAGGGCCTGTGACACCTGAGGACAGACTAAGGAACGCGGGTCGAAAAACGGCTAACCATAAGATAGGGTATAATAGAAGCCCCCGAAACCGGCACGGCCGACGTGCACACGCCACAATCTCGGCGCTTAGGGCATAGTGGAAGCCCTGTTGCTGCCGTAATAGGCTTAATATTACTTGCAATTATTCGTTCCAACACCCACCCACAATCAGCTGAGGCCAAGTGATGAGGCGATGTTTTTCCCCCATTCTTTTTCCTCTGTTATTCTTTTTGCTGCCGCGATCGCTTATTTAATTTCCTACTCCCAGAGGCTTAAAAGGTGAGCTACTTTTGCTGTTACTAGGGTTTTTTATTTATGCTTGTAAGTGAATGAATTTTTGCTTACCATAGTCTGTTATTCACACCAGGACCCACACACACGCAATGAGACACATTGCATAACTCGTTCGAACACCCAACTCTTCTTCATTTTTCTGGTCTCTTTCTCGTCCAGCCCCATTTTTTGACGGTTTTTCGAAGCCTTTTTTTCCTTTCTAAAACACGGATTCACGCAGCTTCTTCACCTTCATCGCACTATTTTCAATCTTGTCTTCCACTTTCCATCATAATCTGAATTACCCAAAATTATCGTGAACGGTGCCTTCAACATTGTAAAAGCTGAAGAGGTTGCCCATGTGCAGCGGAGCCCACACCTTGCTTGCAGGCAGCTCACTGCAGCCAGCTGTATGGAGCGTAAATCAAAAGGTCGCATGATTTGGACGAGTTGCCCGACGCAGAAATTGCGAGATATAGGCGTCGCCTTGGTGGATTGAAGCTCGAGCGCCCCAACGGTATTGCAGCTGAGGCCGTGCCAAACGACATACACCCTACAATGATGCATAGGAACGTTTCTGGTTTTTCGAAAAATATGTGATTTTTATTTGACCCACAGCGGTAAGTTCCTGCCACCGTTATGAATTTTTCTTGAAAAACTACGAGCCCGACGCTAAACTCGATCTCGTGGAGACTTGCGAGCGTTTTCGATAGTACTCCAGCGGCGTCCCATTCAAATTCAACCAAAACCGCATACTCATTTTAGAACTCTTCGACACGCGACGAATGTGGCAAGCTCAGCATGCCGCTCGATTCTGACATCTAGCACTTGCCTCTCTCTACTTGAATCTGTCTACTACAATAAAAAGAGTGAGAATCTTTTTGAAACTAAGCAAGTCCTCGGAGGTCGTGCTGGTCTGAATTCGTATCACGGCTACACTTTCAAACGAGAAAATCTGTTAGAGCCTTGGAAAAATTTATTGTTGTTATCTTCTATGTACAACGACTTTCAACACTAGAAACCCACTCAGACAGAAACAAAGACTACCGAGACACTTCTTAGCAAATATTGATGATGAAAGGAGGTTAATGAATGACGGCATCTAGTTAAATAGGACTATAAACGAATTCTAATGAATAAGTGATGTTTTAAGATCACAACAATTACAATTCACAAAGTACGCTCAAACAACAGCGAATCATCGCTTTTAACTTTCACAAGTCAAACAGCAAGACCACAAAACATAATTTGCACTATTCCCATCTTTCGAGCTGACTTTACCTCTAATCAGCCTTTTCAGCTGATTTTATTTTTGTAATCTTTTCCCTCTTCACTAGATAAGCGGTGTTGAAGAACTTCGAAAATAGAATGAGAAATGAGGCGTATATAGCGAAACATATGGCAAGATTGTCGAAAGACTGCTGACACACCTCAAAGATCGAAGCTGTTAATTCTAAAGATCATGGAGTTAAGAAACGAAAACGAAAACGAAAATTCTCACTGGAACAATCGGGCCCCTGCCCTGTTCTGAAAACTTCTTTCCCTTATGAATCTTATTACTTCACGCCTTTACTTTTTTCATTCTGGTTCGGTGAATGTCTCTTGTTTATGCTTTTTCAGACTTTCAGCGAGATCAGACTTGAACAATATTAGTATTTCCTTTTGTAATATTGAAGGCAAAACGCCTTTTGTACTACCATCTATTTCTGATGAGGTCAGCGCCTCCATAGAAAGTGTCTAAAGAGATCGGGTTTGAAAATTTAGTAGCTATTGTAAACGTACCACCCTCCAATCTGAAGAAGCGCCTGTTCGTATCAGGCTATACGATCGCCTATGTACAACCTCACACTATGTGGTTTGTCCGCCTGGAAGGGAAGGTGACTGTAACATGTCTGGAGTGGTCTACAGTATTACTTGCCGGGATTGTGGTGAGGAGTTTGCCGGGATTGTGGTGAGGAGTATATTGGAGAAACGACAAGACCACTTCACGTGAGGGTCAAGGAGCACATAGATGGCATGAGAAGATTGAAAAAGTCCACTGCTTTAGGGAGTCACCGAATTCAGAAGCATAACGGAGGCGATATTGAGGTCATTGTGGAGGTCGTAGCTTAGGAATAGCAAGTGTGCGCGCGTAGAACCCTCGAGGCATTTTGGATACATGCCACCGATCCCAAAATGAATCGTAGGGAAGAATGTCTCGCAATCACGCGGGAGCTACGGCCTCATATAAGAATGGCCTTCCCTCACAGACTTTAATGAGGACGTACCCCAGCTGAAACTGGTCGGTTGGTACCACTATTTGTTGGGTGGTTTCGAAGAATCCACAAATTTACGGTGAGTGGTTCTCCTTTCGACCACCTGCGTGCCCTGGGGGTCTCGAACTTAGTGGGTTGGTGGAGACGTTTGATCGGCTAGACACAGATTGTTATGATCCTTTCAGGCTCTGAAGAAGGCGATTCCGCCGAAACGTCAGCCTAATAAAGGTTATTCAAAAACCTCGCGAAGAGTTCAAGACAGAGACAAACTCAGTAACATAATATTAGTATTTATTCCTTCCAAAACCGTCAAATCCCAAGGTGAAGGTGCATTTATATCGTAAATATTTCCACGGCAGGAAAGCATTTTTTGTTCCAGTCACGCTTATAAATGAGACACGATGTGAGCAGGACTGCCTTAGTAGAAGTGATTCTAACTGGGCAAAAAGATGTACTACTGAATGTGGAACTTTAACATTCATTCTCACAATTAAAGCTGTAACCCCGAATAATCTGGTTTCATCGTTGACGACGAGTGGGAATCATCCACTAATATCAAGAATTTCTTTACGTGAACAATCATTCTACTATGAAAACCTAGATTAAGCAAATAGAAATTCTTAAACTGGAAGTCCTCAAAATACAGCCTCAAACCAGGAACAACTGGACTACTATATAAGTTCGATACTTACCGCACCGTTGAGCTTCAAAAATAACACGTAAACCGAGATCACGACACCAATTAGCATTTGTGTGGTCTGGAGGGCAGTTACGGTCCTAAAAAATTGCACAGTCACTATCATTATTTTAGAAATAACAGCAAAGAATAGTTATCAATTCGCACATAGACAGCCGCTTTGGAAGTCGGACTCCGGTCGACACAACGGCATAGTACGTGTACATGATTGAGTGCACAAAATAGTTCATCCAAATGAACCAACGTCCAGCGGCTGTCAGTTCAACAGCTGCAAATCTTAGAGAAGTTACTTAGGGAGTGGTATCATTCAAAAAAAAATTCACAACTACAACTACTTAAATTTATCAAAAGTATACGTCTCTTGCAAAATTACGAACTTCGTTGCGGCAACGAGAGCTCACAGCTTAATCAGATCGCACACTGATGAATTATCGAGAACACCCTTAAATCATATTACAGTCGCTAATTGTATGAACCCCTACTTCAGTCATACACTGAAGTAATCCCAATACGTCTCCGTGTCTTATTCGAGAGCAACGTCTCGAACCGGTTTCCGCGGCGCTATATCGTAGTCGCAAAACTAGCTAGGCTGGCGAAAGTTTTTCTGGGCGAACTAGTCTTTCATCATATGAATGGATATTAAACACCAACAGCAACATGACAACTTCAATCCACAGTTGCTTCAACTCCACGGATACAAGAAAACAGGATCTCCTCGATAACAACTTTCTGAATATGGAACCTCGGATTTTCATTTACCTTTCCATACTCCCTCAACAGCGACATGGTCACTGATCACTCACATTTATATTATGAATTCACAATTATAATTCTACACTCTAAAATTCGTCAGTCTGCCTGCTGAACTGTCGGTATTAGTTCGGCCGGATCTTTGAAAATCCACAACTCCTGTTCGAGCACTTACATGGTTTTCTACCCCAATTCGTTAACATTACAGACAATTTCGTACTTTGCCGTATTTTCCCACTATCTCGTATACGTAAGGTTTGTGAAACCCATTTCATTAACCTTGCGTTACATTCACTTTCGTAAACTCTCCAATGAGCGATTTGTCAGTGAGCGTAGCGTAAAGGGACGAGAAAGATATGTATCCATCTCTTGTACCATGAATAGTCAAATAGTAATCAACTACACTCTAGAATAGGTGCTTTTGAAAACACAGTTCATGATAGTCTTGCGGTTTCTATTTCTAGACGAATAATGGGATGATGATCCGAAAAAGTTCAAAAATGTGAAGAAAACGCAAAAATAGGCGTACTCAGGGGAACATAAGGCATCAAAAAAGTAGCAGAACTCGGGATTTCGCAAGGATGGGTTATTTGAATGAGTTGTCCAATTGTGGGTGCCATTGCATACGGATGACTACAGCAAGCTGTCTGCTTGCAACATGTGCGCCGCAGTGGTGCAATGGTGTAACCTCTACAACGCCATGAAAATATGAGAACACGTCATAGGTGTGTACTTCCTAAGCGAATGTGGGGCTGTTACAACGCCCTATTCAGGCCGTTTTCCGACCCTCATACTACACTTGGGGGTCAATGAATCATCATGGGAAGTAATTACGAATTATTTTTAAAGGTTACTGTGCCTTTAACATGTAACGCTTGTGCCCTTTCCTTGATTAGCTGTTTCTTTATCCTGAAGAGTAAGGTATAGGGAACGTCGAACGTTAAAAGCTCCCTCGATGTTCAGTAGTAGCTATGTAAAAAGACCGACGAGGCAATAACGAATGTAACAGTCATCACTTTGTCCAGACACTGTTGGAACTATGCGTTCTCCTCATTAAGGTTAAGAGAGGGAGGGAAATGGTTCTAGACCCTTTAATAAAGTGGATGCACTTATGGAAATGTTTGGTAGCCATCGACCGTTAATGCAAACAGTCCAACTGCGAAAAAAAGGTGGGTACAGTAGAGCTCAAAAGTATTCGACCGAATGTTTCCTCACTCGTACTTTTCATTCGTAACTCCTTTCCTACTGAATCGAATCATGCGAAATTTCAATATGTACGTGTAACATGGGTGTGTTGTGAATATTAGCCACTATTAACCTGCAATCTGGTCATGATCCAGATATTCCAAAGAGCTTGAACTCGAAATCAACCGGAAATAGAGACACTGGTACTTTTAGTTCTTTTCTTTTTGCCATGTCAAAAGCCTACGAGCGCTAATGCCAAACACAGTGAAGGAGAAAAGCGCACGTAAGGCGCGAATAACTGCAGATGTCGCTAATTTGCTTTCAGCGAGGTCTACTACTACAAGGGGGAGGGGGGCGCGATTCATGCGTGACCCAATTAGAGCTCTTCGCGCACGCAGCATCGTTTCAGTACCTTTCTGTTGAGATGGACCGAATAAGTTTGCAGTAGTCCATGGCTTCATCATGAATTAGAGCAAATCTCTTTACTATGACAATAAAGCCCCTTCGAAATTGAGAATTCGGTGCTAAGTGGGTTGGGGGAGACCACGCGGCGCGGCAGCGGCGCGGCACCCTGCGCTCTCCAGCAAGGTAGTAGTGGACCTGAGTCTGGGAATGGTAAGGTTGTACTGGTGTTTCGTGATTCAGAACAAACAATATGCTTGCATAGTATGGATACACTTCTTCTGAGCCACCAAAAGTTCAAAATGAGAATACGTTCAAATTTTTTGATCCTAAAAAACGCAATCCTTCTGTAAACGTGCATAGTTGGTCATTTTTTTGCCTATTCTACTTACAAGTTCTTATTTCTTCCATTATGATGGTAGGCATGATGTTTTAGCGCGTTTTGTCCGATGACCTCATTAACTGACGCGTGGATTGCACCACACCTCTACCACAAGACACCCTTCCTCTTAGTTGCGTTGATATTGCTGCTTTGCAGTTAACCAGTATTGGCCAGTGGTACTATTCTACTATTACACCCCCAGAACTATTCTACTGTTACACCCCCAAAAACTCAAAATTTTAATTTTCGATGAAACTTCGCCTATANGCTCCAATTGGCGCCAGTTTGGCGCCAGCGCCAAAAGTAAAGGTCATATTCATTATCAGGGCATCGGATTACCCCTATAGGCGAAGTTTCATCGAAAATTAAAATTTTGAGTTTTCGGAGGTGTAATAGTAGAATAGCACCGGACAGTGTGAAATATGCTTCTATTGATCATGCCAAAATTTCGCGCAATTTGCTTCACTAAGTTATGGCCGAAAAAGCGTTTGGCCGCATACTTTTGAGCGCTACTGTATAATTGGAGAAGTTTGTTTATTAGAAGCCATGTGATGCTGTAGATTTTTTGTGATTTGTTTATTTCGCGCGCATCCAAGCAGGAACAATCATGGCAAATCTTGTCAAACTGAAAAAAAATTCTCCATTAATCCGCAATGCAAGGTGTTCCGAGGGACAAAATAATCCTGCCTATATATTAGGTTGGCAAATAAGTCCTGCGACGAAAAATTTGAAGTGTTGAAAAATTGTATCAACAGTGTGAACACGGTAGCAAGGGTGATGGACTTGTAGGACATTCCTCAGGCAATCAACACATGGGTAATCAAGGGCACGCCTGTGGGCTTTCGCAGCATTACGGTCAATAAATGGACAACACCCGATTTGTAAAATCACCTTCTCTTAAGCACGCCAAGGAAAAAACGTGAGTATAGCGGCTCGAAATATCAGCAATCTATTCAATGCTAGCACTGCTAACCGATCGACGGTCAACAATCAGTTTGCTCGCTTCACTGCATTAGATACGAGCCTTCGGAGTAACGCACGCATCATCCCTTATTTTAATGGAGGTTGAAGGAATCCATCCACCATGAGTTGCTTAAAGCAAAGCGGACTATATGGTCACTGCTATCGCTTGTCCCTATGATCCCCTTTATTTGACCAACGGGGTTAGAGAAGGACGATCAAGCCGTAAATCAGGTCTTTGCAGAGGGACATCGTACGTCTAAAATTCGCTTCAGACCCAAGTCAAAAGTTCACCGATCCCGCTTGGTTCCAGGTTACTCATCAGTCGTGCTCGCAGAGTGTTCCCCTTTTAACTACAATGTGCTCCGCCTTTTTGAGCATCCCGTTGTGGAAAAGAAATTCGTAACTTAATGTGATCCAAAAACGGCAGTCAATTACTTTTTCGAGTCACAGCTCCCTCATTCCTGAAGAGATGGCATCAGTTATTGGCTCAAAAGATAAAAGAAGGTTGTTGACTTCTTCGCCAAAAATTTCCTCGAAAATCGATTGATATGAAAAAATTTAGAAATGACTTAAAAAAGGTTTCCATTTTGTCGCAGGACTTATTTGCCAACCTAATAAATCGAAAGCGCGTTAAAAGCTTCAAGCTTATCTTATCACCTTCTTTGTTCCTTGTCAATCGTCGAAGTGCGCAGAAAGAAACAGAACAGGACTGCATGCATTAATGACCATATTTCGTAATTAAAAAACCCTAATACATACAATCATTTGTCATTAGCTCATGCTTAAGTTTTTACAAAACACATTACTGCTGGTCAACAGACAGACAAAAAGCAAGTGGTAGACTATCCATCTAGGAACTGCTGTACAATGCGTCAGCCAACTGCTAACCACCACTGAAACTCGCGCGCGTTCAAACATATCGAAAAAGAGAAAAATCACTCTATAGATTAGTGATCAAGAAAACGAAAACGAGGTAAAATGAACCTACCCGAATGCCAGCAGTAGATTAGTACAACAGCGTGATGATACCAGTGCAAAAATATTACAGGACGCTTTCGAAGTACCAGGAATAATGTATCGCCGAGCTCGGCGATTTTTGAAAATGCAAACATGCAGGCCCAGAAGGATGCCGGTCCTGATGGATCAACGGAGAAACAAACAGAGTCCGTGAATGGCCTGGAAGAAAAGATCTCTTAGTCTCACAACAACTGCGTAAAAGTAGCAGAAGAACTATTCTACTACATGAAAGGCCGTACCTCCGTTTCCACCTGCGTGCCGGCACGCACCTCGAAGTATGAAAGCATCCAAACGCGCTAATGTTCATGTGTTGTGCGTCTTTGTGTGTGTTTTTGTGTGTTGCTGTTTGTGTGTGTGTGGTTGGGTTTGTGTGTGTTTGAGTGTGTGCATGTGAGTCTAGCCGCGCGCGTTTCCGTGTCCGTCCGTGTGTGCTCGACTGGGAATTTATAGCTCCTGTCCCCGAGGAACTAGAGCATTCAAATTTGGCAGAATGCCAAACGGCAGGATGGTAACTTTTGTGGTGGGCGGCAGAGTCGGACTCCACCCAAAAGGGGCAAGGTTTATGCGAAATAAATTTTCGAGTGGAAATCATAACTCTTGTTTTCTTGAATTTAGGGTATTTAAACTTTCTACGAATCCAGGCCACATTGTGGAACACGGATGATAGAGGACATGACTAGACTAGACAGAGAGCCTTGCGTGAGCAGAAACTGTTAATTTGGAGCTACATCGTTTGAATTTGGTAGGAGCTTAGGCGGCGGGACGAAACGCTCACGTGATAAGACTGGACTACGTCCACCGAAACCAGTATTCTGAGATCCAGAGCTTTCAAATTTCGAAGGAGTATAGGCGGCAATACAAAAACACTTGTAGTACGTGGCAGGACCGGACTCCGTCCACGGGGAGGGGGACGGGACGGGAGTGTTGATTCGAACCTAGAGCGTTCAAATTTCGTCGGAGTAGAGGCAGCATAACGGGAACGCTTACGGCACGCGCTAAGACTGAATTCAGCCCACAAGGAGAGGGGCGTGTGCGAAAACTGTTAATCTTAACCTGAAGCGTTGAAACTGAGAGAAGTACATGCTGCAGCATGGAAACACGGATCACAGGCGGTAGGGAATGATTGAGCTGTACTCCACCTGTGGATGAAGGGGAGGGGGGGGGGGGGGGGGNGGGGGGGGGGGGGGGGGGGGGGGGGGGGGGAGGAGTACGGAGGAGAGCGAAATGTCTTCGATATGAGCGCAACTTGAGTATAAATTGAAGTCAAATGAGCCGCTTGTGAGATTCGTTCTTGTTCACGTTCATGAAGCGCAATTACTTAAGAATAAGAGTAGACTACATCAAATGGCAGTTCCCGTGCATACATATACACCGATAGGATCAAAACCGAACAATTTGAAACGCAGAGGGGGAAGTAGGAAAAAGTCATTAAAAAGTAAAAGGGCAAAATATACTCAGGATAAGAGAAGGGAACCAAGTGAGAGGGATTTGAAGAGTAAACAGTAGCAATTGACAAGGGCAATTACTGCAAGTAATGATAGGGAAAGAGGGCGGAGGTGGTGTAGTGGCAAGTGGCGCACTATACCACATGCACGGTCAGGGGTTCGAATCCCTGATCGATGCCCGCCTAGGCCAACCAATCCATCCCTCCGGGGTCGGTGAATTGGTACCAGACTCGTCTGGGAGGATAAAAGCACTGACTTGTATATCGGCTGGCCACCGCAAGTCATTGTACAGGCCATATACACACTCATAACGCCACTACGATTCTGAATGGAAGTCGAGTGCGGGGGCACATCCTTCAGACGGGATTGATTAACGCCAAAAACATTATCCTTTTATTTTATAATGATAGGGAACAACAGCAAAAAAAGACTGAACGAGGTACCAACTCTTAGGTTATTCCGAAGATTACAATGAAACTACAAATGCACAAATCAGCAACAGTTTTCCTCCACGGTTTTCACTGTGGAGATCTACTTCACTTCACTGCTTTCAAACATCAACGGCCGACCTATCGACTGATCGACGGCCACTTGGTGACAACACTGGACAGATTTCGTTCATCTGGCCAGTGTTCTTCCACATGGCCAGTCAGCGCGGTCGATCGGTCGGTTGTTGAAGTCTGAAAGCAGCCAATAATTTCGTGTTAGCGCATCACATATGTCACTGATTTGCTGGAACATTGACTATTCGTTTAGGACTTACGCGAAACAATGCAAACGTGCAAGTAAAGCAGGCGCGATGTAGCAGTTTGAGGGACTTTTCTAGCCATCCTCTGGGAACCCGTGGAGTTCAGGAATGAATGAAAATTCATTGCTTTTTGTATGAAAACATAGTAGATGAAGGCTTTTTATAACAATAGAAAATAAACCGTTACCGTTTTCATGAAAATTCAGTAATTCTACAGCTAGCAAAAGATGTTGATAAGAACCAAAAAGGAAAAACTTATAATAAAAATAAGAAGTGAATAATAAGACCTATACCAAGAATTGTCGTGTTCGGGATTCGAAACTGTTGAAATATCGTAAGAATTCCTGAGTTATCTCGCTTTTTCTTATTAAATCGTCCCCCCTTCCTGATTCCAATTCTATCTTTCACATATTCAAGCTTGTTATTCAAATAATGCTCTTTGAAGTGCTCCTGCTTCTAATCCGTTAACTGTGGGCGATAAAATTATGGGCCGCTTACGACCGGCACCTGATCAGCCACTTTTTTGACAATTTCGTCTACAAATAACTGCAACGAGTCACGAAAATAACTGAGGAGGCTTAGTTTAAAAACAAAACATAATTTTTCTGCTAAGAAATGTTCCTAAGCACCATTATGGGCTCACAAAGTTTGGATGCCCCTCCTTTGTGCTCTAGGGCTCAGTGTTGGATAATACTTCTGCCCAGCTGCCGTCGTCCCTCTTTGAAATCGAATAAAAGTGAGCGTACGACTACGGAAGGTCATATTTTTACGCGGTGGCAGAGCGCTACTATGAATGGAAACAAATAGTACCGTGTAAAAGAGGACAAATGGTAGCAGATTGTATAGATGGACTCATCTAAATGGACTGACTATCCTCCTCGCGCACATTGCGCGCGTGTCGAGCACTTTTTTTTGAATGGGACGGCGATTTTTGGTAGAATCCCGACGGAAGTGAATTTGGAAGTATTGGCTTTTTTTGGCAAGGAGATGGATGTGAAGTCATCATAGAATTGACTGGGAAATGAGTTTCTCAACAGATAAGTTGCGAATGGTTGGACAAGAAAGAAGGAGGAACGCTCAGACATATTATGCTGCCCTGTAGCGCTGCGACCAATATTATTCAAATACCTGACATAATGGCTAGTCCACAAATCACAGCAATCGTATTGACAATTAAAAAAAGGTCATTGTAAATATACTTGGGGCGACGCTAAACATTTCCGTTACTTTTCCTACCATCCGTCGGAAGGATTATCCTACGAGTCGATTTCTCTTTCATTCCAACTTTTCAAGCGAGGTCAGCACCGCACCGTCCCAGTGCTCCTCCCTCTTTAGGCTAGGACAAAAACCTTCCCCTTGGACTAAGAATTGTTTCCTACCGCTACAGGTTCGCAAAACAGCCTAACTACCTTCCCGACATAACAATAGAGACGCGGTTCGTGGCGCTTCACTCGAGAAAGCGCTTCGGCACGTGGGAGGAGAATCTCGTTACCTATAAATGCGATTATTTAGAAGTTTTTTTTTTGGAACCAGAGGTCAAAAATAGCTGAGAGTTTACACAAGAGGTCGACATTGATGACAGGAAAGCAAATAAGAGCACGCATAGCTGTGAACGTCAACAATAAAAGGTGCAAAGCCATTATAGTACCAAACCATTTGTTTGCCGTTTCTGTTCTCGGTTTCAAGTGAAGCCGGACAGAACAGGAAGATGCTAAACCGAAAAAAAAACTTATACGAATGTTTTCAAATCATCGTTCAGACGTTTTGTCTCATTACATACAAATCAGTTTCTTCTGCACTTTCAAAAGAACTGTCAAAACTCAGTGTTCCTTCGGACGCCACTGACCAACGCCGTTGCTGGCCACGTCCGCATAAGTCGTGAGGACGTGTGAATCCATTGGTGTCCAGTGTTGTCAATACGTGTCCAGGAACGCCGTCGGCCGGTCAGTGGAAAAATCCATATCAGTGAAGTTTGAAAGCATCCTTTGAGGATTTTGCGGGTAAGGGAAAAAAGGAAAGAAGAAAAAGTAAGTGGATGGTACGCAGTATAAGAAATGACCGGCACAGGCGAATAACTTTAAAGAGAACTTTGCCAAAAAATTAAAAGTTGATCAAACTTGGATCGGTGTAGAGGCATTTTAAAATTGGCCCTTCGCCACTATTTCAATTGTTTCCATTTTCGATAAGTGATTACGACCAAACTTATTGCTTAGTAAAGTTTAATGTTGATAATGCCGGCATGATCATGATATTGCGCTCATTGAAAAAGCATTTAGTTCCTATCTTACCCTTTTGAAGAAAAAAAAAACTCGCACAAACACAGTTTTTTGAATGCATCGTCGCGAATGTTATCATCCCTGAAGAAGCACATACGAGAACAGCTGCCAGTGTTATAGCCTCACAGAAAATATTTCCGAGAAACAGCGATTGATGGAATACCATGCGTATGACACGCATAAACGTAACGGAAGAATTTTATGTTGAACCGAAACGAAGAGCTTCAATTAAATTGGGTTCACAGTGAGGCATTTTCCAATGTACTGCTTCCTCTTGCAGAAACCTGAGCAAATGTTTGTCTTGTTAGAGCCGTTTTCAGGCAAATTATAATAATACAGTGTAAAACTACCCAGCTTAGCAAAGAGTGCTCCCCACAGTGTAGCCAGTGCCTGAGAACCAGTTTGCTTTGAACCGACACTCACCTCTTCATACAACTAAATTCATTAGGAACATGAAAGAAATACAGGTTCAACTTTCTCTTGGTCAACAGGGATTTGCTCCCTTCTGACTTTCTGAGAATTGTTCATATTTCTCTCGTGCGAACATTAGAAACAGCTAGAATAGGTATCCACTCGTCATTATGTGAATTAGCTGAAGGATTTCCCCCAATCTCCACATTACGAAGTGCTGAGAAAAAGAAAAATTTGAAAGATTTGAAAAAGAAAGTATACAACGAAGGAAATAAATAAATCGAGTGCGCAACCTCGTCCACCAACTTAGTTCAAAGTTCAAAGTCCCAAAGATCCACACGTTCAAAGTTTGAGAAGTCCAAAAAAATGTCGCAAGCCGTAAAACGTTCACAAAGGGGAAAGATGAAGGAAGCACCGAAAAACAAAAACATTAAGTTTGGAGAAAGAAATATAAGGAGGAGAAGACAAACATTCCGTGCTTTTAAACTATAATACACATAAAGATACCTCGTCGTAAGCATATTGAAAAACTCGAGCCCAAATCGCCAAGTACCCATCATGCTGAATACCGCCAATGTGCCATTCCATAAAAGTAATATCCATCTCATACTGTAAAAAGTGACATAATTTTGAACGAGATGATATTGTGATTTTGAATCGAACATCTTTGAAAAACCCTTGCTCATCAATCCATTTCGCCTTCACAATAAAAGAATAACTTGAAAACTTTAAAAATCTTTGATCATGGAGAAATCGCCCGGTTCTAAATGCGGCCTCCTTTCATTTAATGCGCACCAGAAATAGGGCAACGAATGAATCGGTTTCAAAATCATTTCAAAATGTTATTCCTTCTTTCTACCGCCTCCACCTCAGCAGCCTCTTTCAGTTGAAGGGTAGCGCACATCATTCAGAAGCAGCAAGCAAATGAAACTTGTTTAAAACTAAAAAAGATTTTTCATAAGAAATACCGATATTTCAAGAAATGGTGACCCGAAAACTCAGCCCGCTTCATTACTCCACAGAGATTGGAACATGATAGAAGCATATTAGCGCATTGAGATATATTACTTACCTAAATGGTTTCCTATTCTCCATCACTCTTTGCATTACGTTTATGATGACTACGTAGCCAAGGGCCAAGTATATGGACGAACTCCAATGCCTGGCGAAGAATGCATGCACAGCATCCGGATTCCAGAAATGTTCGGGGCCAACAACATTTTTGTACACGAATGGTGCGTAGAGAATGGTGTGACCGTTCCCGGACCAGACCGCATGCGACGACATCGTGAAGAAATGCCGCTTGTCCGACAGCCGGCTCCACGCCACGCCTCCCATAACACCACCGCGCGCCACCCAGTGCGCCGCGCTGGACGGCGCCGCGTCGCGTTCTGTTCACTGTATTTTCCGATCCTGTCCACGTAGTATAGAAAAAATAGATAGATAAAATAGTTAGAAAGGCTGAAGGAAGCATCTGCTTAGATGCAGGGACTCACTTTCGACTGGGTAAGGGTTCATTTCTGGCGGAATCGTCGATGACTTCTGGTTTTGATGGTGGTCCCTGTCGAGAAGTACCTGAACCAGCTATAAGACCCCCATTCAGAATCGTGGTAGTCCCATGTTTGTTTTTTAGCAGTCACAACGGTAGCGAGCTTTGGTGAATGACAAACAGTGATTCTGCTCTACTTGTAGGGTGACATTTACTGGCACTGGAGAGGTAGAAAAAAATATCTCCTATCGTAAATAGCGTAGTGATGATGTTGGTATAGCGGCCATTCTTACCGCTTCTAGACCACCTTTCGGAGGAGCGTTTGCCTTCGGAAGAGTTGAAGAGGTACTTAAGAGCATCAGCCGGGAAGCCTACCAGATGCAAGTTACAGTTACCTTCTGCCTTAAAAGTATAAATCGGCTAGAAAGCGTTTTATAATGCGAAAAAAGTTTTCAGAAGCTGTAAAAGGGATGTAATCAAATGACCAAAAAGGGCTGAGCTGAGCTGGGATCAAAAGGTGAAGCTCTGTCCAATAATATGTCTCTCATGAATTCGGTTATACCTAAAGAGCCACCTGAAAAGGCAGGGTCAACTGTGGGATGGGTGGGGCTTCGGGCAAGATTAATAGAACACATATGAGACCAGGGGAAGTCCGTTCGCAGGAGGCAGGAAATGCATCGGAATGGGAGGTGCAATGAGAAAAACTCTATAATTTTTGCTCTATCTCAACATTCGGGCCTCGCTGAGCCATAAATTATTTCGACAGTGGTTCTAGCTGATGGCTCGCCTTCGATAACGACCATTATCGGCGCCCGTATAACCCAAGGAGAAGCAGACTGTAAGAATAAGTGGATGTTATCCGTGGAACTTTTTCTTTCAGGATATATCATTGGTAGAGACTCTAGTGTATTGGCAGATGGATAGGTTTCGTAGCGATTAATATCAAAACAAAGAGGAATCGTGATTCCACACCGAGTTACAAACTTTGCTGTGTAGCGGTCATAATATAAAAACAGCAGATGAACCGAACTTTTATCTCTCCATAATAAAGAAGCTTTAGTCGATCCCTACCATTGCACCTACCACTAACTTTTTGTCACCCTACTTTACCATCCCGACTTACCTAATAATACATACCAAAGAGTCAAAGCTACAGACTTTCAACACCGCACTGATTTCTCTGTCGGGGTTCTGCTTCGTAGATGGGTCTTGCTTTCTGGAGCCACTTATCAGCTCTTATCAGTTGTTATCAGTTCGACCCCGTAATACCCACACGGCACATGTCTTCCAACCACCTGTCATCAGTGTTTCAATCCTGCCGCCTGTGTTCCTACCAAACTTGAACGCTCCAGGTCTACGGGAACAGGAGCTATGATTTCCCGCTCAGACTCCGCTCACTGGCTCACTTTGGGCGGGATCCGTTTTTGCCACCCTTCATAAGTGTTCCAATCCTGTCTCCAGTATTCCCACCAAAAACGAACACTCTATGTTCAACAGGACAGAAGTTATGATGTTCCGCTCAAATATTTATTTCGCACAAACCTCGCCTCCTGCGGGCGGGCTCCGGACCTGCCACATAACATGAGCGTTCCCATCCCGCCCCCTGAACTCTTACCAAGTTTGAATGCTCTAGGTCCACGGGGACAGGAGTTATGAATTTCCGTGCAAACAGACAGACAGACAGACAGACAGACAGACAGACAGACAGACAGACAGGCAGACAGACAGACGCGCTCTACGCCATAATTACAGTGCTTTCAAAAGTATGTGCACACCCAACACTTTGTTTTTTTTTTGGGAATACCATTGCTTTCTGTAGCCTGTGACCTTCACCATTCTATTCCTTGTGTGTGATAACCTACGAACACTTTCTCTGAGAAAACATCGTAGTTGCTAACACTATTTTTTATTAAAGAAAATTTTTCTTTTGTTTCAAAAGTATGCGCACACTTAGCAAAAAACAAAATTATAACCGAGAACAGGAACCAATAGGGCCTCTTAAATTCCTGTAAAGGTTATCGACTACGCGGAGTCGTTCGAGAATGGTTTCGTTACGGTAGATTCTTTAGTTACCTTTAAAATGAAAAATTTTGAGTGTGCACGTACTTTTGGAACGGCAACTGGGTCGCTCTTTTTCATACATTGCTAGATTCATACTTCTTACTACTCCTAATACTTCTTTGCCTGTGAGGCAGATTCGAGCTCAGATGGGTTTATCAGTCTCGAGTACGACCGTTTGGCGCTCTATCCGCTCTGATGAGTATATCACACGAGAGTCCATGAAGAAGGCTACTCGCCACAAGCTGACAAGGCTGGAGTTCGCTCGTATGAAGATGGCAACATCGTGGATTAAGGCACGGTTGTTCGAGAATTCTCAGGATTGTCCCATTTTTAGAACAAACAACGTGTTGTACCCATTTTNCCCATTTTATTCCTAGCTGATCTGCTCTGATGTAAAGAAGTTCAATCTCTATGGGTCGGATGGATTTCATCATTACTGGAAGGACCTTCGCCGAGAGCCTCTTGTGTTTTCGAGAAGGAATTTCGGAGGAGGCTTTTTGATGGCGTGGGCGAGCAAACGCCAGCCTTGTCAGCTCGTGGCAAGTGATGAATCAAGGAGCCTTCTTCATAGACTCTCTTGCGATATACTCATTAGAGCGGATACGTTCGTACGCGAGACTGATAAACCCATCTGAGCTCGGATCTGACTCACAGACAAAGAAGACGGGCTATTCTCCTGTTGTCCTAAGCAGTCAAAATACGTGGACGGCCAGAAATAGGTTGTGAGCGATAGCTGCCAGAGTCTCGAATGAATCTAGCAATGTATAATACAGAGCCGCCCAGTTGCCGTTCCGAAAGTATGTGCACACTCAAAATTTTTCATATCAAAGGTAACTAAAGAACCCACCGTAACGAAAACATTCCCAAACGATTTCTCGTAGTCGACAACCTTTACAGAAATTTAGGGGGCCCTGTTGACTTCTGATCTCGGTTATAATTTTGTTTATTGCTAAGTGTGCACATACTTTTGAAACAGAAGAATAATTTTTCTAAAATTGTGAAAGCAACTACGACATTTCCTAAGAGAATGTGTTCGTAGGTTATCGAATAAAATGAATTGATTGGTGAAGGTCACAGGTTGCAGAAAGCAATGGTATTCCCAAAAAAAAACAAAATGTTGGGTGTGCACATACATTTGAAACGCACTGTATGATGACACTTTTCAGACGCCCGCAATTTCCTTGTTTGGAGGGCTTTGGAAAAACTATTCTATGAATTTCCCGGACCACAATGTGATGGGTCGCTGGATATAGTCCATACTGGAGAAGAAATCCTGCGCTTCAAAACGCACCACTATTGATGTTTCTAAGAAACCGCTAGAAAAGTCCAGGATAGAGTTTCTCAAGAAACTCTGCGTGCTACCGTCGATTAGTAGCCGAAGCGTCTTTGAGCTATAATTATTACAGGAGACGGTTATATGAGATGAGATGCGACGTATAGTAAATAGTTTACTTAAATTCGCTATGTATCGATATGAACTGCTGTTTCCGTAGCCAATGGTAAAGATATGGCATCCAGATGAGAAAGGCTGTAGCTTCTCCTACAAGCACTGTGAAATTGAAGATCAAAGAAAACCAAAAAGTTGCTGGATTCCCTTTTCTTCGAGTCCTCTGCCTACCCGTAAATGTACGAGTTTTCTGTGGGATGTGTTAGGTATATTGCTGTCGTAAACATCGCGTGATCACAGACGACTCATTGCCATCGTCTTCCACAGACTCCTCCTCGCTGCATAGATAACAAGGTTTTCGTACATACCACCACGTAATATAAACGAAAATCTCCCCACTCCCTCCCGTTCCTTCCCAGGTCGTGGTTGTTATGTGCCAGGAACAGGACTCTTTTAACAAGTCCAGTGGCCTCATCCTTGAATAGAACATATCGCAGGTAATATGTTAGAAAAGACCCTGACTCTTCGACCCAACGGATGATGTGACGTCTCACTCCTATAAGCTCAAGAAATCTCTCAAGTTTTAACAAACCTATTCTGAGCAAATCTTATGCAGTTCCTCTATGCTCGACTTGAGCTCCACCTTTACTCAGCAAGCAGAAGCAAGAAAAAAGCGCCAGTGTCAAAGCGAAATAATGCCATGAAACAAGGACTCAAACTTTCAGGTCATGTTCAAACACAAAACAAAACGTTTTGTAGTACCTACAACGGTATATATCCCATCCTAAATGGCTACGATCTTCGTCTACGATGACGATTCCCATAACTACTCCTCAGCTAAGGAGTCGTTTCACTGTCTGTGACGGCTCCTTAGCTAAACCCACGCCCCTAAATGGTGCGGGGTCGAGTGGTCCCGAGATGTGTGGATTCGCACCCTCTTCTTCCTCAAGCAACGTCAAGGGCAAGAATAGGCTTGTAAGGGGCTGTAAGAGGTCGTAAGTGTCATCGGGATGTAAGAGCATAGAAGATCTAGGTAGGCACCCTCATTATTTCATTGTCATTGATTCCTGGTGGGGAGATTGCAACTTGGATAAGGCCTACGGGGTGAGAGGGCAGAGAGCATATTAGGTTATGGTAGCTGACTAATCTCATGCTTCGCACTTAATTTTCACGAACGGCAACAGCTAGGAAGGAAGCTCGGTTGCCGGACACAAGAGCACTGCGCCTGTCGCCTCCATGGATTCTTGACCTTCATCGGTTGTCACCTTTGGGCTCAACACCTTCCAGACACTGACAGCGACCGAACTGATGTTCACGCACCATAGCGTCAATCAACTGATTATTTATTCTCGTCTTAGTCGCGCATTGTTTGCTGAGCTTATGACCGCACCTATTGCTGGT